GCGCTCGGCGGCGCCGGGCCGCGCCCCCTCCTCCCCGCGGCCGCGCTGGGGGGGAGGGACTCCTTTGTGGGGGTAGGAATGCGAGGAAGGAGACGGCGCTGCGGCCTCTGGAATGTGGGGGAGTGGCGGCGGCGGAGCCGCGGTGTCCGCGTCGCCCGAGCTCAGGGGCGCGCAGGCCGGGCCGGGACGCCGGCGCGGGGGGCTGGGAGCCGGCCCCGGGTCGTCGAGCGGCGAGCGGTGGCGCCGCGGGGAGAGCCCGGGCCCCGCTGTGCACTCGGGCCGTCGGGCCTCTGGAAAGATCCGGATTCTCCCCCAGTCCCTGCCGGAGAACTATGAGCAGTTGATAGACGTTTCCCACATCCTCCCCCATCTTACTTCCCAGCGCCGCCACAGTTGCAGGCGCTCGGCTGGGCAAGGTCAGCCTTGGGCAGAAGCGCTGCGCCCGACCCTGCAGAACACTGTGCGTCTCGTGCAGATGCCCCCCAGGACCTCGCGTCACCCCACGACCCCCAGCCCGTCCCCGGCCCGTGTGCCTGAGCACTGGCTTCAGGAGGCCCCAGCTGCCTGGGGGCGAAAGGCGCCTACTGCTAGTAGTCGGGGTTGGTTGCGGGCTGGTGCTCGCGCCTGGCCGGTGTACGCAGGCCCTGGAGGCAGGCCTGAGGCTAAGCCAGTGGGTGGGTGAGCCTCAGCTGTGACCACCTCAGGCAGTCACTAAGAGACGTGAGGACTCCTTTTTCCAGCACCTGCCCTCAGGGGCTTGGGTGAGGCGCCGAAGAGATGCTCCTAAAGCACTTGCGCTGCCACAGGTCCTGGGACGGGGTGGGGCCTTGGGGGCCACATGGGGGGGGACGACAAGAGGTGACTAAGGCATTGTCCCCAAAAACACTAGCTACAAAGCCCTTGTCATACATTTCAAACAGCTTATAGGGAAAGAAAGCAAACCATTATCTGCCAGGACCTGGTAGATCCAGGAAAATAACCTTGAGTGGAAGAGTTCTCTCTTCTCTAGGCCCTCCCTGCTCAGAGAATTCCAGGAGGCACCCACAGCGTCTCAGGGAGCAGGGAGCCTGGATGGGGAGTCGTCTTCAGGCAAACAGACCAAGGCGTCTGGCCTAAACATTGCTGCGGAGCCGGCAGTGGCCCATTCTCCTCAGCTGGCAGTGGAGCAATGCCTGGCCCAGCAACTCCTCCGCAGCACCTCTGAGAGCTTGCAGAATTCCAACGCCCCCTCCCCCCAGGCTCACGGGCTAGGGCAGACACAGGTGAGGGCAAGCGTTTTGGGAAGCAAACATCCGGAGAAGCCTTCTCATGAAATGATCTTCTCTGAGAAAGGAAAAACAATTTAAATCAACCATGAGATATCACATTTCACTGATCACATTATCTACCATTTAAAAATGGGGATATTGGCAAGACTGTGGTGAAACTTGCATATATTTTACTGGCATGAGTATAAGTTGGCACATCCTGTTAAGAAAGCAATTTGGTTATATTAAGGTCCACAAACAAAAACACTCTTATGAGCAGTAATGCTCCAAGAATCTATTCTAGAGAAGTAATCCAAAATGCAGGCAACGATGTAAGCACAAAAGTGTTTACCACATTATTTATGTAATCTGTACAGTCCCAGGATCTCCAGCCTTCTGAAAAGGAGCTCAGAGGGAGCTCTCTGCTCTCAAAGGTAGTTCTTAAATAACCGTTCCATCCCCACCTGCCCACTTAGAGCTTTCAAGATTTAAACAATATATTGGAGCCTGGGGTCAGCTAAAACACATTACTTACTCTAATAGTAAATAAATAAACAACAACAAAGCCCACAAACAGAAACAAACAACCTAAGGTGTTTGCTTTCTTGCTCCCCCGCTATCTTGGCAGCTGTTCTTGGTTGGGGGCTGTCCCACACCTAAGACAGGAAGATGGAGGCCGCAAAGAAGACGAAAAAGTCGCTGGAGTCGATCAACTCTAGGCTCCAATACATATGAAAAGTGGAAAGTACTGCTGGGGTACAAGAAGACTCTGAAAATGATCAGACAAAGCAAAGCAAAACTGGTCATCCTCAACATCTGCCCAGCCTTGAGGAAATCTGAAATAGAGTACTGTGCCATGTTGGCCAAAACTGGTGTCCATCACTACAGCAAGTGGCAATAATTTGTTGAATTGGACACAGCTTGTAGAAAATACTGGAGTATGCACACTGGCTATCATTGATCCAGATGATTCTGATATTGTTAGAAGCATGCCAGAACAGGCTGGTGAAAAGTAAATCATGCAAAATTTTTCTATAATAAAATTGACCAAAACTTGTTTTAATAAATAAATAAAATGTTTGAGGCTCAACATTAGAATAAAGTACTTCCGTGAAATGGGAAATGCATTAAGCAATTATTTATAAATATACTAAAAATATTTCACGATGGGATAATCATAGCATTGTAATGTTAAGTGATACAAAGGAGTATTCAAAATCGTGGTTTCATCTATATGCGACCTGAATGTGTCCCAGACCCCACCTTCATCTGTGTCCTCACTAAAGGCATGTTGAGTGTTTTGTCTCAGTTTGCAGGCTCTTTCTGTCTGGAAGCAAACTGGGGAACAAGGAAAGGGACGGAGGCTGACTTATGGGATTTGAAGCGTCATCCATGGACTCACCACCCAGCCTCCACTGATGCCTTCTTCGTCCTCCACCGATGTAGGGATGTTCTCTGTGTTCACCTCTCTCTCTGGCCTCTTTCTTCCTGGGTCCAGTGATGTGCTGGTAAACATTTAACAATCAGTGCTTTGGGGGAGATTTGTACAAGTCAGGAGCCCTGATTTATAGCATTTGCCAATACCACCATGGTCAATTTCAAACTACCAATGTGATGTCACTGAACAGAGTTGGGAAGAAATGGGTATAATCAGCTCTCAAAAGCTAGCATGGGGGCCGGGCCCCGTGGCTTAGCGGTTAAGGGTGCGTGCTCCGCTACTGGCGGTCCAGGCTCCGATCCCAGGTGGGCACCGACCCACTGCTTGTCGGGCCATGATGGGGCAGCGTCCCACAGGCAGCAACTAGCAGGATGTGCAACTATAACATACAACTATCTGCTGGAGCTTTGGGGAGAAAAAAGGAAAAAAAATAAAGGAGGAGGATTGGCAATAGATGTTAGCTCAGGGCTGGTCTTCCTCAGCAAAAAGAGGAGGATTGGCACGGATGTTAGCTCAGGGCTGATCTCCCTCACACACACACAAAAAGCTAGTATGAGCTCCAACTACCACTGTCTGGGGCCCACTGTTGGAGAAAGAAGTTTCCCAACAGAGTTGCTGGGAATCTAGTTCTATGATCCTCTCATGTTAACCAGACTCTTCCCTTTGTCTAGGCAAATGGACACACTCAGGAGGCTGGAACAGGACATGTTCAATCTAGTCTCACACCAAGTCTGAACCACCACCTTTTCCTTCTAAGGCCCCAGAGACTGATCCTATTTAGCTGTCCACGTTCATGGTGATTTTTTGAGACAGCCTCCTGTTGTCTCTTTTAATCTGGCTTCCATCGGACTCCCGTACGTCTGTATTGTGTAGACCCCAATTATAGACACAATTCAGGGGTTTTGTGTCTTGGGAGACAGATGTCAATCAAATGTGGTTGGGTAACTTGGGTTATGAGGAAGAGGATGGCATGCAGTCAAACTCCGCATGGAGGAACTGCTGGGATCCACACTTCTCTCCATTCAGCATGCAGCAGTCTTTACCCTTACAGTTTTTCCTGGGGAGAGCAGCAGGAATCTTTCACCTGAAGCACACTTGTACCTCCTCCCAGCTCAGCTCCTAAAGACCAGTCCTGTTCTATACACAGCACCAGACCCAAGGTGCATGTTCTGTCTGATCCACTGGGAGGTCGTCCACTGGGAGTTGCACCCAAGGGCATTTTTCCATACCCTCTTCTCTGAGGCCCAGCTCTTTCAACCACCAACTTCCCCTGGTCCTAGTATCCCCTTAGGCCTCCCTGGGCGTACAGAAGTTTCAAAGCATTGACAACTGAAGCCATATTCACCAAGTTCACGTTGGTTCTTCAGTCTAAGAATTAGGATTACGACCTGACAATTACATTAATTGCTTCATCAGGGAGCAAGTAGCCATCCTGGAAAGACCTTCCTTTCTTGCCCTGAAACCTTATCCTACACTCAGAAATGGGAATTTATGCACAAACTTTGTACGTGGCAGAGACCCCAGCCAGTGTGGAGCTCCACGGGGAGGAGCTATTTGGGGATGCCCAGATTCCCACAGCTTTTGGTATCACATTTTTGAGCACGAGGTTGGTGTTCATGACTTTCACTGCTGCTGAAAGCTGCTGCTGGGACCAACTGGGAACCTCGGCAATACACAGGATGTGGGTTCTCAGATCCCCATCTCACCACCTATTGCTGCCATAGGATGAGAAGCTGGGTTTGTCTGTGCACCAGCCTTTAGTACCTTACTGCTTTCAAGGTTTCTACCCAGGCTGGCAAGGTTGGCAAGGTTTTCTAAGTGCAGCATAGTGCCGAGATGCAATACATGTTTCTAGAATGAGTGAATGACATCATGTGCACAATGCCTACGGTTTTGAGATTGACTGATCTTCTGAAAATTAAAGTGAGTTGTTGGAAGATTTCTAAAGCAAAAAAGCCTGAGGACCTTCTTGCAGCATGGTAGATTCTAGTAAGATTTTTCCTCAGAGCCTTTCCCTAAGTAGTAAGTCACTACTTGTAAAATTTAAAAGTTTTAAAGCTGTTACAAGTCAGAGACACTTAGTAAAACTTTCAAAAATGTTATTTTACCAGGAGATAATTGTCTTCGAAATATAACCAAACTGCACAGCAGCCTCACAGCCCTATAGTTCAAATCAGTTGATTTTTTATTTGGTGAGAGCAATTCAAAAGTTTCTCAAATAAGCTTTTGGCTGGATTTTTTTTTTTTTTTTAATTTTATTTTCCCCCCCAAAGCCCCAGTAGATAGTTGTATGTCATAGCTGCACATCCTTCCAGTTGCTGTATGTGGGACTTGGCCTCAGGATGGACAGAGAAGTGGTGCCTCGGTGCGCACCTGGGATCCGAACCCAGGCCACCAGCATCAGAGCGCACGCACTTAACCACCAAGCCACGGGGCCGGCCCTGGCTGGATTTTAAATTAGATGCAGGGAAAAAAAAGTTCCCTGTGTATGCAGAATGCAAATAAGGTATTCCCAGTATGAAAGCATCCATAAAAATACTTCTCTAAATATAACCTCCTACAAAATGATCAAATGGAGACTCCAGACCTCAAGAAGGCTACTTCAAGATGCAAAGAAACGGGAGGACTTCACCGCCTCTACAAGTCACAATGACTAGATATACGTGGTAACATTTTTTGAGTTTTATTCACTTTTAATAGTTTTTCTGTATATTACAAAAGGCTAGTAGGGGCATTAAACTTGCCCATGTTCCTTGGCCACAGGGCAAGTCCACTTGAGACATGTATGCCACCAATGGACAATTTTCAGGAACAAGAACATCTATTATGAAATAAATGCTTTCTGGTTGCTTCGAAGTGGACCATTAACCTACTGGAAATAACGTGGCTCTCTTTGGAGGCTCAAATGAAAGAGAATTCTTCCTAAGTCACAGCCTAGCAACAAGGATGAGTAAAGCCGACTTCATCAATGTTGGCCCCAGGAATCACTGTAACACTTTCTCATTCCGACTTGTATTTTTAATAATCTTTATTGCCTTTCTGATTTCAATCATAGGATATATTCAGTACAAAACTTGAAAAAGTCACATAGGCACAAAAGGAAAATACAGACCATATATATATATCTATATATATCTCCACTTTTATTATGAAAGTTTTCAGAGAAAAGTTGGATAGTACAATGAACAAATATAGGCTCCACCTAGATTTGATAAATGTTAATTTTACTTTTTTTCTTCTTGTATATTTTGCTGAGCCATTCAAAAGTTGCAGGTATTATGAAACTTCATCCCCAATATTCCAAGAATAAGGACACTGGCCTACATAACTACAAGAACATTATCACACCTAAGAAAATAATTCCTTTATAGCCTAATTTATCTCATTTTCAAATTTCCAATTGTCACAAGAATTGTTATAGTCATTTACTTTGCACTTGAGTTCTAGAACGTCCCACATTCTGTACTTGTCCAACTGTTTCCTCTTACTGCTGCTTAACTTGCTCCTCTACCCCTCTATTTCCTGTCAGCTGGAAGTTAAGTCTACATGCTGGGTTAGACTCAGGTTAAGGTTTTTTTTTTTCCCCTAAGTGCTGTTGTATTCTTCATATCATCTCATCAGGAGGCACGTATCAGTTTGTCACATTAGTGACCCTAGGTTTGATCACTTGAATACAGTGGCCACTGATCAGTCCATTGTCGAGATTGATTTTTTTTTCCTTTGGCAAGCTATCTGTACCTCAACATTTGAGCACTGCGCGAAGATTCTGTTCCTCAGCAGCCTTTTAAAAAGGTTTTGGCATCCACTGATGATCTTGGCCTAATCAGCTATTTTGTTAAGGGTTCAGGCTCTATATTAAAATACTGAATCCTCTCATGGAATATGCCATGTATGCAGATAGATCTTTGGGACAATGAACTCTCTAGGTAAGCTTGAGTCACCAGACTGCCCCCAATAAGGCTGGAAGACGGTTTGCCAGCCTCTATTTCAGGCTGGAGCTGTGGGGAAACACCCTTGATGAGCCCTGCTCCCAGCTCCCCCACTGAGGAGACAACTCACATGAGGAAACCACAGACATAAGGCCAGATCTAAAGTGTCACCGCTCTCCAGGGACGTGGAGGCAGCTTGAACCTGCTTATTAGTTTAATTGAGCAAGACCCCTATCGTCAGACCTGCCTTGCTGGTAAACCCTGATTTTATAAAAACAGGTAAAAAAAGGACAGAAACTGCTAGAAAAGGTAGTAGTAGAGTTGTTGCAAAGATGAAACCACTGGTCTGCCAAAACAGAAACACACCTCTACAGAACTGCCGCTCCCTGCCATGCACTTTCAGATGGGAAAGAACAGGACAAAGGAACATGTGCAAAACGCCAGAAACACACTGTTGACAACTGCCGTCAAAAAGACAGGGTGAGGTCTTAAGGAATGGAAAGAATTTCAAAATGCACATTTCTGGAGAGCTTTTCAGAACTCAAAATTTCAAAACTGAAAATCATCAGTGACCAACCAGTCAAGCAGAACTTATTTCTGAGAGGTGGTATTCCAGGATATTTCATTTTTATCTGTTACACAGTTCCGTAAATTCTGAAATTTCTTTTCTGGAGGAAAATGAAACACTTTTCTAAAAATCTAAAGGCAAAGTGAACCTCATAGGCTGACAGAGTTGGGGGTGGGGATCCAGCTTGCTCGTAGTTGCTCTATCAGAAGGCTGGAGGTCAGTCCATCCTGCAGGCATCAAGCAGCATGCTCCTGAGGGCCGAGGCTTCTTCAAGATGACTTTTCTGAAGGCTTTGATTACATGCTGAATTTACAAATGATATAAAACAAGGAGTAAGAGTTAAGCTGGATGGCAGAGTAAGAATTACACAAAGTGGAACAATAAAATGAATTATCAATTTCAAATTTAGTTGCCTGTGGCCAAAAACATCAAAGGCAGAGGTACACGATGGGGGAAACAGCTTCACGGGTTTCTGTTATCTGAAAACTCAAGGCACATCTGTGTGAGGAGAGTATCCTCAGGGCCAAGGCCTTCTGAGGTCCAGGGCAGAGATTTGAGTGCTAATCCACCCAGCGCTGGTCTGGCCACATCTGTAGGCTGGAGTTGGGCCCTGAATGGTACACTCATGAATGGACTCTGATGAACTAGGGGACAACCCAGAGAAGACGGCAGAATGGAGAAAAGCTCTCCCCCTCTGGAATCTCAAATCCAAGGCTCCAAGTTACTGGGGGTGGGCAAAGATGACTTAAACGTTCTCAACAAACGGCCAATTGTTTACAATCCAAATTTAAAAAGCAACATATAGTCATTAAAAGCTCATCTATGGCAAACAGTGGAGATCTTTTAACCTTCACATCCATTACAAGTTAATTTTGTAAAAGGAAAGAATTTGGCATGCCTGCGGTAAATACAATGTATAAACCCAATAAGGCAGCAGACACGTGCACTGTGCAGGCATGTAGAACAAGTATGTAGATGCCATTTATTTGGTCCATAAGTACAGTATAGTTTTGAGTTTTACAAAACATCAAATATAAATAACCTGAAACTGTAACAATACACAAAAATCGGCTTCTTACACAGACATACCAGGCAGTACAAGCTGAAAACTTGAGTAAATTAACATTGTTTTACATTAATATACATAGTGCCAGTTAACATTTAAAAACAAATCTCAATGCATAGCACTTGATACTTCTTTGAATCTGTTTCAGTCAGTTAAGAGTATGAAAATGGTTAGATCTAGGCTAAAAATAATTCTTCTTCTAACCAAAAATAAAGGCATAATATTTATAACCAGGTATCAACTTTACTAAACCACAATATTTTAAAACTATTAAATGATACCTAAGAGTATTTACATTAAAAAGGCAACATGCATTGTGTTGTTTCATCTCATGACTCGTTATGCACACACTTTGTTCAAAGGGTTTTAAAACTATATTCCTACTTTCAATACAGCATACCGCAATGTTCCTAATAGTTCTAGCAAAACAAATGCTTTAAAAGGGAGTAGAATTGTCTTCAAGTCACTGGTGTAAATTTTTTCCCTTTGGAACAAAGGACATAACAACCTGGTTCTGCCCAGATGACCTAAGGCAGTAAGAGGGTTCTTTCTAGAGGCGTTTCTGTTCAATCTAACGCTATAACGTCATCAAGCTCTTCTGTCTGTTCTGTGCGTGACCTCTTTGCACTGACATTCTCTTTCTCATCTAATTTCCTCTTGCGACTTCTCTCTTCTTCACTGATGTCAGCATTATTTGAAGGACCTTCTTCATCTGAATCAACTATGAGCACATCATCTTGCTCTTGTGCTTATTTCAGAAAAAAAGGAAAAAATGGTTAAAAGTGTGGGAGTTACTAGTGGCTCACTAATATTTTATATAAGGGAAAAGCTAACTCTTCTGATATACACCAAATTTAAGAATAGGTACCCCTAGGGAACTCTCACTACACATTACATATTTCTGTCCTGTTTTAATGTTTTCTATAACAAGCACCTACTTTTCTAATCAAAACAAAAAATTGTAACAAGCCTTATATAACTCAAAGGAACTATTACAGTTCCTTGTTTCTATTTCTCTAACAGAAAAGGGGAGGGCTCAATCCTAATAGTGGTAGTGGTAATAAGATAATAATAAACATCAACAACAACAACAACATATATATAGCACTTACAATGTGCCAGGAACTGTTCTGAGCACTTTGCATACAACAACTCATTTAATCATCACAACCCTATAAAGAAGATAACATTACTATCCATTTTCCAGAAAAGGAAACTGAGGTACAGAGAGACTGACTTGCCCAAGGTCACACAGCAGCAGAGGATGAGGCTAGGATTCAAACTCACACAGTGGGGCTCTAAAGTGCATCCTTTTAACCTTACGCTACAGTTCGTTTTGCATCCTCCTGCTCCACCAAATCACAGGCAGAGTACCCATCTTACTCAGTGCTACAGCCTCCGAGACCTACCCACAGAAGGGAATCAGTAAATGCACATTATGATTTTTTGAAAACTACCACAGTCCCTTCCTCAGAGGAGGATGATGGACCTTTCTATTTTCAAAGGGGAAAAAACAGGCCAGGTACCCACGGCCCATAGGTGGCCATACTCTAAATAGTCTCAAAGTCCATCTTTAAAACTCTCAGAGAACAGAATCATATTTCAAAGAACACCCAAGACACAGGGTAAAAGAAATGGAAACAGAAAAATAAAAAATCGGTAACTTTTAGAATAAAGAGGGGTGTCTGTGCCTCTGTGTATGTGTATGTGCATGGTGGGAGGTGGGTAAGTACTAAACATCCAAATCCAAGCACAGTAAAGCACCAAGCACCAGCACCAAAAACCCAGGGAAACAGAGCCTCTACTGCACTTTACCAAAGTCATACTGGTTCTGAGAAAACTGTGAAATGCTAAAATTCTATATTTACCAAGCGTCACTCAAATTAGTCAGATGCACTGATTTGTTGCCCCTAAATAAAACAGGCAGACAGGATCCAAAACTACTACTTCTAAGGATAAATGGTCTTTATGCACTAGTAAAGTGACTGACATTTCCAGTTGTAAGAAACCCTTAACAAAAAATAACCAAGTGTTTCTGTTTCCCCCAGTCTTAAACGTCTTCCTGGTTCATACATTCAAAGCTGCATTAAAACAATCAAGGCCAAACCAACACACGCTTCTAGTAGTCCTATGGATTTCTGTATTATGGTCAATGTTCATAAAATAATCAGTTTGTTTCTATACAGTCTTGCTTGGTGGGTAACTAACAACCTGCTGGCTGGGGCCACGACTCACCTGTGGATGTGGAAGGCTGAGCTCCATCGTCGCTGCCATTGGTTATGCTTTTGGTAGCATCTTCAGCTTGTTTGGGCCCCACTTTTTCTGGGGCATCACCAACAACTTCAAATTCAACATCCTTTCCTAGGTCTTCACTGTAAGAGAACCACACACTATAAAACTGGACCGCCACTATGACTATTTACAAAAGCAAAGGCGCTAAGAGATACTGTTCCTCATAGTGTATACTATGTACACATCAAATATTCTGATTTTCAAAGAGCTAAAACAAAAAATAAGACTGTATACAAGAGATTTTTGTGATAATTCAAAACTCAAATTCAAATGGCCAATACCACTGCACCCTCAAATCAGGAAAGTGTTTTTAAAAAAATATTAAATAACTTTTACTGCTAAAGCAGAACACTAAGTCCAAAACTCTGTGGCCCAATGTAACTCTTAGGCATTATTTCTTCAGCTACTACATGAAAAGATTCTACACACTCTAGTCTGATCTTGAACAGAGTTAATTTGGTGTTTTAGGAATAGGGTTAGATGGATTCTGGGTTTTCCTCCCATCTTTACAGGTAGCACCCTACTTTTGTAATGAGTTCCCAAAAACATGTAAAAAAGTTTAATGCATGAAAGTCAAACAAAAGACTTACATGTTATAAGGGGGGTTCTGTTCCCAGAGAGCTAAAAAATATGATAAGAAAAACCCTAATTATGCTTCCTCTTTTAGACACCATCTGATATTTTTCCATTTTATTGTACATGTTCTCTCGTTTCCTTTTCCTTCACAACTCAACACAAGCACACCACTGACATTCAACTGGTGTCTGAGGCCAGAGATCACACCCTAGTGATCTACCTTTGACTCAATTGTCTAACTCTGTGAAACTTATACTTATTACTAATAACCCACATTCAGTCTTTCCTGTCATTTTGTGCTTTTTAAACCAAGTATATAAAACGTAACACTCTCCAAACAACTACACAAGCTATATATGTTTGTAAAGAGATGGCAACACTGGCAAAAAACCTGGATGCAGGTGGCAACCCTTTATGTTTGTTAGATGGTACCCCAAAGTCCTAGGTGAGGGTGCAGTTTAGGGGTATCAATGAGCCGGTAAAAAGATGCACCTTGTTCAACAGATAAACATACCAAAGTGGAGGACTGTTTTTTAGGAAGACTGGCCCTGAACTAACACTTGTTGCCAATCTTCCTCTTTTTCTGCTTGAGGAAGATTGTCCCTGAGCCAACATCTGTGCCAATCTTCCTCTATTTTGTATGTGGGTCTCCACCTCAGCATGGCTGACAAATGGTGTAGCTCCACACCCAGGATCCAAACCCAGGCTGCTGAAGCGGAGCACGCCGAACTTAACCACTATGCAAAGGGGCTGGCCCAAGACTATTTGTTTTTTAATTGTTATTTACATGCAAATATTCTATAATGCAAGCACTTTGAATGCTTTTCATAAAATGGGCAGGATATAAAATCAAAAAAGAAGAAAAAAATAGATGACTCAGGGATCCATGCAGGATAATTTTTAATGTTCTCTTGTTATTGTTACAGATCACAAATGAAATATTTGTTTTATGGGAGAAATATTTCTTCCTTTCTTCTAATCAATCTTTAAAAATAATTGAAATTTTTATCCTAGTTCAATTATCAAAATGAATTCACCTGATTTTAACTATTCAAACGTCTGAATTTCTACCTTCTCTAGGTCTTTCTGATCAGCCACCACTGATGACAATTACTCTTAAACATTTGTTTGTCTATCTTTTTTATTTCTGAATTCCCAAATGTTTCTGTAGGTCAAACCTCAGGGTACTCAGTGGCCAACTTGAGCGAACATACTGTGTAGTTTCAAATGAACAGTAGGGTTTAAGGATAAGAAAACATTTTTTCTCCACTTTAAGTTTGTATATTCAAATAATTTCTTATACTTAAAATATTAACAGTTCCTACCTATGAAGGATGTTGATCAATAAAGTGTAGTCCTGAAGGAAGTCGTCTGCTTGAAGCCGGCTCCCATTTCTAATGCCAAATTCTGACAACTTCTTGTGATTATTTGCTAGAAAATTTGAAAGGAATTTAGATACTTTAGTAATAACAAACAGTCACATTAGTTTTAAAAAGGCTAAACTCCTACTATAAGCTCAATTGTGTCCCCTGCAAATTGCTATGTTGAAGCCCTGACCCCAGTACCTCAGAATGTGACTATATTTGGAGATAGTACATTTTTTTTGTTTATTTATTCATTTATTTTTTGTGTGAGGAATATCAGCCCTGAGCTAACATCCATGCTAATCCTCCTCTTTTGCTGAGAAGGATCGGCCCTGAGCTAACATCTATTGCCAATCCTCCTCCTTTCTTTCCCTTTTCTCCCCAAAGCCCCAGTAGATAGTTGTATGTCATAGCTGCACATCCTTCTTAGTTGTGGTATGTGGGACACCGCCTCAGCATGGCCGGACAAGCCGTGCGTTGGTGCGTGCCCGGTATCTGAACCCAGGCTGCCAGTAGCGGAGCGAGCGCACTTAACCACTAAGCCATGGGGCCAGCCCCCTGGAGATAGTACTTTTTAAAGAGGTGATTAAGTTAAAATGAGGCTGTTGGGGTAGGCCCTAATCCAATCTAACTGGTGTCCTTACAAGAAGCCAAGGAGAGAGAACTTGGGAGAAACCAAACCTGTTGACACTTTGATCTACAGACCCTCTAGCCTCTAGAACTATGAGAAAATATATTTCGGTTATTTAAGTCACTCTGTCATGTATTTTGGTATGGCAGCCCCAGCAAACTAACCCACTAAAATATTAGGCACTTAGGGATTCAGCCCTGAACACCCAACTACCAACACTACTTCAAGGGAACCAAAACTGTGAGAAGTTCTGAGAACCTTTCCCCATTCAAACCAAATTAATCTGGAATCCTGGAGGAGTCAAAGACAACTTTTAGAGTTGGTCAAAACATACTCTACTTGCAAAGAGTTTATCCACAACTTCAACAAGCTACTTTTTAGCAAATTTTTTAATTCAGAAATATGAGAAAACTTTATTTGAATGGATTTTTCAACATAAATTTTCAACATTTCTCAATGAAGAGCCAGGTGGGGCCTCCCAGAAATAATCGCTCCAACCTAGTTCTGTATCTTCCACATGTCATTTCTGCTTCATCTGAATATCCCCAGTGTGTGGCACACAGTGCTTAGCACCCACTAGCACTCAATAAACTTCGCCATGTGGATTATGAATACTCCAATGAAGAACAATCCCTCCAAGCAAACCTCTAGTATCACCACCTCCTCCTACCTATTCTAGGGCCTTTCTGCCTTAATTATCCTTTCTCTCCTGCATGTTCAAATGCCTCTCTCTCCTGACCTGTAAAAACACTCAAGTCTCGTCTACAAAACCGCTTCCTCATCTTGCTCCCAATTTACACTCCCTCCTTACAACATTCAGTCCACTTCAGTGAATATTTGCTCTGTGAGGGGCATAAACTATATAGAGCCTGTGGACCTATAGCCACAGTGCCTGCCACACACTATGTAAACTATATTGTAAATTCTAGTTATCATGTTTAAGTTTATTACTTTTCTACATAATCTAACAAAATTTTTCTTTCTTAGTTTCTATTATGTCTTTCATTGCTTATAGTGAAAATGCTTAGAAAGGATCTCCCTACCCAGACCTTGAAACCCAGAAACTATTGACAGTTTCTAATTCTTTTACAGATTTCTTATTTCAACTTTTTAATCTACTTGGAATATCTTTGGAGAATGACAGTTCCTACCCAGACTTCAATCCCCAAGCTCTTTCATACATTCCCACTCACTACAAACTCCTCAGACCCAACATCTTCAAAAGGTAAACAGTTACTGAGCATTCTATTCTGGTGAATTAGCATCATCTCTAAAGCCAGAGTCCTCCTAACAGTCCTGTACCAGCCTAATGATGCTACTCTTCCTCTCCTGCACCCTAAATTTTGACCTTGCAAATCTTACATCTGTCATCTGCTTCTGTCTTAGCAAAAATCCCTTACTCCTCTGATTTTTTCTCTCCCTAACTGGCTCCCTGCCTCCACTCTCATACCCTTAACTCACCCTCTGCAGATTATATTAGAAGTTAACTACATTACTTCCCTGCTTAAACCCTGGTTGGGAGTAGAATATTGGGGGAAGAGGAAGACAAACACACATTACATATACGCCACAGAAAGTCCACCAGCTGCATCACCACTGCCAACACGCAGTACCCCCGCTTCCAGTGAAACAAAGTAATTGGCCATTCCCAAAGCCTTTTATGTTGTTTACAAGTTCATGCCTTTGTAGATGCTGCTCATTCTGCCCCAAGCAGACACTCCCTTCTCTGCCCAGAGGGTCTTTACTTCTTCAAGAACTGGCCCAGGAGTCCTCTTTCTCCTGTGACCCCTTCTTAACAAAGCCTTGATTCACACCTTATACACTCTCTTTCTACAGTATTTCTTAGACTGTGCTAAACCCACTTGTTGATAATCTCTCCTCTCCTTCCAGACTGTAAAGTACTTTAAGCCGGTACCACTGTCTTATTCATTCTTGAATTATGAATACCTATAACTATGCCTATAATACAGAAGGACTCCAAACATATTGGAAGAAATGCTGTCTCACCCTCAGTAGCACATGTATTTTGTGGACAAGTGCCACATTTAAGCCACTGAGATTCCTCACCAGTTTCCGTTTTTAAGGTCCTAGTATTTAAAAGAGCTGGCTAGAACTAAGGGGAAAGCATGAAGTTATGGACAAACTTTTTTTTTTTTGGTGAAGACAGCTGGCTAGAATGGGGCTTAAATATTCAACTAGACTCTTAAAATAGACTACTACTCAGCCAAAACAAGGCCTCTGATTACTCATGACCTAATATCCCAAACAATTTCTTGACAAGGAACTACAGCCACAAAGAATTCTGACACGAGTTTTAATGTAAAGAAGGCTTGACATTTGAATCCCCATCAGGATCTGGCAAAGTGTACTGAATAAATAACCACTGAACAAACAGGTGAATAAGTAAGTCGATATACGGGAAAACAGTGCTCCCAGATTTTGAAAGTAACGGTACGCTGTAAAAACTTGGGATACAGAGAAATCAACTAAAATGGTAATCTAAGAGATCAGCTGCCAAAGTGACAGAAGAGGTGGGAACTTTTAAGTTCAACCAGACAACACTAGTCGAGGCATGACCACAACCAACTCTCACAAAGAAGGCTGAAACAGAATCAAATACATTGTACTTTGTATAATAAACGCATTAACAAAAGGGATGACCTGTTTGAACTTTTGAAAAGGAAAGCCAAAAAGCCAAAACTGGGCACTGATTTTCAGCAGTACGTTCTGCTCTTTGGTAGGAGCAGGCTATCAAGACTTCCCCACTCCTGGACAAAATACCTAAAAGCCTTAGATTATCTTCCTACTCTGACCTAACAGCCAGAGTAACCTTCTCATTACTAATTTTGCTCCTAGGACCCAAGATACAGGCAAGGTAGTTCCTTGGAAGTGGACAAAAGTAGTGTGGTCATTGTAGAGCTGGGTTATTAAGAAATAGTCTCTGAGACACATTGACAACATGGAGTTCCCAAAACTGGAATTATGGTGATCCCACCAAGGCAATGCCACCTTGGGAAAGCACCTCCATGACCAAATATCGCCTGCAATACTGAGAAACATATATAGTGAAAGCATGAACTAATGTGCACTCCTTCACTTAGGCAGTCTCCACCCAAATGAGGGAAGTGAATAACTGCAATGTATAATACCTTCTGTCTCTCCCTCTTCTGAAGATATTAGGATTGTTCCTTTCCCATCTTCAATTTGGACATCTGGTGCTACCATAGCAAATTTTTCTTTCACTATCTACAAGAAAAAGAGATCGAAATATTAATATGTGGAATTAAAGACCATTAAAAAACCTAGACCTCTCTGTCATAAAGGCTCTTCTTTCCCCTTCCATTGGAAAGGGGCCAAGCTGATCTTTAAGATACCTTAGGGCAAGCAGGAGAGCAGTAGGAATTCACCCAATTACTTCATGCCCACGTTCCATCCCCACGTTGGACCACTGATCAGATAACACTTCCTCCAAACGAGGGGCTGAGAACTCCTTGACTGGCTCTTGGTATTTTGTCCTTCCCTGCAGATTAGGTACTGAGCTAGACACATGACATATTTTATCTCAGTCTCTACCAACCTTGTACTAGCATATGTTTTATTAGATGGAAAATTTCTCATTAACCCGATTCTCAGATGGTCTTTCCCTTCTCAAGTTCCATCTGTTTTTAAATTCCAAGATTGATCAAGAGTGACAATACTCTTAAATCCTACCTGCTCCTAAAAAAAGTGAGGTAACTCTAAAGGTCTGATTATCCTACAAGTAGCAGAATTACCTTTAGCTCAAGAATGAGTAGATACCAACTACAACTATCTTCTAAGAAAGAAGGTAGGGCAACCACCCTCTGCTGGCCAGTATACCAAGTCCTGATGCTTCCCCATCTAAAACATAACCTGCCCTGTGTAACCAGTTCTAGGAGAAAGGCCATACACTCTCAAGCAGCCTGCAGGGCCAACGAAGGTCTATTCCCCCTGTGTCAGGAGGTATGTAAATATGTAACATCATGACAGACGTAATCAGAGGAACAATCTGAAGTGATGCCATAAGTGGGAAGCAGCACCCATTCGGGACATTTTTGAAATCTTCCCTAATAAAGAAAGTAATCTAGGAACTTAGGAGGAACTGAAGACCAGGGCACAGGACCAGATCACATCCTAAACCCCCATTACACTCACTCCAGAGTTCTAAAGGTGAATCCCGGTGCACAAACGCTACTTCTCCTCAGGGACTAACTTAACACACCAGAATCAGGACCATCACTAGACCATTTAAGGATACCTCCTATCTGCGAAAAAATACCAAATTTACACACTATCCGGGAAACAAAGCGTTTGCTTGTCAAGATACTGTGCCACCTCTGTCCCACCTGTGGTGCATATCTAGCCAAATACACCCATTCCCTTCTGGGAGGTGAGGCACATATTGTGGAACCACAGACAGAAAAGCCAGCAGGAACCCAGATGGCAAAGCAACCCAGAATGCCAGAGCAACATACTTCAGTAGTCAATTTCAGAGCAATTATCTGGCTTTTAGTTTGTTATCACAGTAACACTGTAAAGGGCAAAAGAGAACTTGGGGTTTTTTCTAGGAAAAAGAAAACGAACAACCTGGTGAAAGAGAACCAGCTCCTACACTTACCTTATCTTGTAACGTGAGAACAGTCACCTTATGGACGTTCAGCCGCACGGTCACCTCTGGCTTGCTGGCACATACGTAGCAATTAGGGTTGGGAGGATCCAGTGCACAAGGCACAAGGAGCTTCTTTCTTGGGTTTGGTTGTTTATTCAAAAAAATCTTTGGAGGAGAAAAAAACACAAGCAGAAATCAGAAATTCAAGTTACAGTTTTATACACCATACAGTGTGAAGTTTACTGTCTTGTTTACTGTACAGCCAATAAAAAATACTTAAATATTCCCTTCTAGATGGCAAAAAGGATAAGGAAAATCATGACCTTCTTAAGAGACTAATTTTCCAACCTTCTTTTCACATTAGCTACCATGTATAAAAGGCTGGGCTTACTGAAAAGAAATCTCCTTGTACTAAAGACTCTAGACTATTTGGCAAACTAATTTAGCAAGAGTAACAGCCTAGCCATACTTGTTGTCTCTGGTGTCACCAGTACATCAGCTTTGGGGCCCCTTCCTAGTGGTTAGTGTCATCAATTTTAAGGCAACTTCTCAACAAGACCAATACACTAATTTCTCCAATTAATGACAATGCTTTCACAGATGTAAGGAAACCAATGAGCTGCCTTTTTGTTCAGATTTTCTATGATGACTATGATATTAACATTTATATAATTAAGGAAAAATATTACATATATCTGGCACTGTAAGCACCTATTTATATTTCTCTAATACCCAAACAAAAAAATAGTAAGAACTAAGGGAAATTTAGAAAATCGCACTGAAATTAAAAAAGGCCCTAACCTCATATTACCACAAAATTTGGAAAACACTAGCAAGACTCAATACAAACAAAACAAATGGCAGGAGAAGACTGGAAGCTGATACGCAAATTCTCATCTTGTGATTATCATGCAGAGTGGTATCTGCTAAGATGAATTAATTCTAAAGAAGAACTCCACGGATTCCCCCCCCGAGCTTAAAGTAAATTCTGTGAGAGGCAGTAAGTGCTAGGAAGAGCCCTCCTGTAGCCTCTCCCCACAATGAATACTAGTCACATTTATACTAGTCATATTCATTGTATTGGCAGGGTTGGAAACAGGGTACAATGCGGGAACAGATTTATTTGATCTTGGGCTTCACCAGGGAGGGAACTGTGCTAAGGGAAATCAACAGTAATGAAAACAATTGCTAACACTATTAATACCCAGGCTATTATTCCATCCCAACATTCATTATAATGTGAACACATAAAATCCAGACATAGAAGTATCATTAAATGCCTAAGAGAGGGACAGAGCTGGGCAGGCAAAGAAACAAGGATGTTATTATAGGAAACAGTAGACACGACAATAAATTCAAACATTAGTATTGTTTGTGAACTCAAAGGGATACTGTAGCCATAGGACAAGTTCAGGCTGCCATAAAAAGGTAGAAATCAAAAAATGAAGTTTTTAGAAAGTAAAAATATGACAGCCAGGGCCGGCCCTGTGGCTTGGTGGTTAAGTGCGCGCGCTGCAATGCTGGTGGCCCGGGTTCGGATCCCGGGTGCGCATCGAGGCACCACTTCTCCGTCCATCCTGAGGCCGAGTCCCACATGCAGCAACTGGAAGGATGTGCAGCTATGACACACAACTATCTACTGGGGCTTTGGGGGGAAAAAATAAAATAAATAAAATCTTTAAAAAAAAAAAAAAAATATGACAGCCAAATAAAAATTTAAGTAGAAACTCAATCAAGATGGCAGACTGGCAATATGATTGTACGTTCCTTCACCCTGAAATTTCATGAAAACAATAAAAGATATTTTAAGAGTGCATCAATAATGGCACCAAAAAATAAGAGTACCACTGCAGATTAGCTATTTATTGCAGACTAGGTATTTTTCAGAAATTCTTAAATGTAAACTGGTCCTTTTTTGTGTGTGTGTGAGGAAGATCAGCCCTGAGCTAACATCCACACCAATCCTCCTCTTTTTGCTGAGCAAGACTGGCTCTGGGCCAACATCTGTGCCCATCTTCCTCCACTTTATATGGGACGCCGCCACAGCATGGCCTGACAAGTGGTGCGTCAGTGCACGCCCGGGATCCGAACCCGGGCCGCCAGGAGCGGAGCGCGTGCACTCAACTGCTACGCCATGAGGCCGGTCCCTAAACTGATCCTTTTATTTCAACATTAATGTAAAAAGGAGAGCCTAAACACCAAAAATATTGACTACAATATTTTTAGGAAGCTTTTTTTTTTGTGAGGAGATCAGCCCTATGCTAACATCTGCCAATCCCCCTCTTCTCTGGCTGATGAAGACTGGCCCTGGGCTAACATCTGTGCCCATTTTCCTCCACTTTACATGGGAAGCCGCCACAGCATAGCTTGCCAAGTAGTGAGTCCGTGTGCGCCCGGGATCCGAACCAGCGAATCCTGGGCCACCGCAGTGGAGCACGTGCACTTAACCATTTGCGCCACCGGGTCGGCCCTGTAGGAAGCTTTTCTGAATCACTAAGCCAGTAAGAAAGCAAAGCATCTTCAGACACAAACTGAATATAGAATGAAAACAGGAATCCAAAGAGAATATCCAGGTGGCTTTAGTCTTAAGAGATAAACCCAGCCCATCCTTCACTAACGTAGGAACTCTTATAATAGGATACCCTTACATAAAGCAAGGACCTGGAAGAGGAGGAGTGTAAAGAGGAGAAAAATTTCTTCCCCACAGAAATAGCAAAAAATTTTATCTTCACCTTGGTGCTTCATGGAGGGGGGAAATATCTTCCTTTATAATTCATTACGACAAGATACGGGATCATGCAGATTTGCTGTCTGAATAATACATGAGTTGAAAAACTAAAGTTGAGAATTTACAAGTAGTCCCAGATTGATTGGATCCCAGGCACCCAAATAAAAATAAATGCAAATCCTCTTTGAAGAAATATACCTTCATTGGGTCCTTGAAGAATTATCACAGATATAGTTTTAACAAATACTAATCTGGTTAAAAAAAATCATACACCACACAAGCAAACAAAACACTATGAGAGATCTAGCTGAAATGACAGTAAATGCATCCATAAAGATTTCAGACATTAACATTGCCAAAGGATGTAAAATAGGTTTAAAATAAAAAAGATTGGAAAAAAGGATTAAAGAACAGGAGACTATAAACTGACCAAAATTTTAAAAACCAGAAAATTGTTAGAATTGAAAAACAACTGAGAAAACTTAATTAAAGGACTCACACAGAGTTCCTCCAAGAATTCAGTAAAACTGGAAATATTAGAAGCAAACTAGCTTCTGCTTCCATTTTATTTTTACTTTTTTGGGTGAGGAAGATTGGCCCTGAGCCAACATCTGCCAATCCTCCTCTTTTTGCTGAGGAAGACTGGCCCTGGGCTAACATCCATGCCCATCCTCCTCCACTTTACATGGGACACCTCCACAGCACGGACCGACAAGCAGTGCATCGGTGCGCACCCGGGATCCGAACCGGTGAATCCAAGGCCACCGCAGCAGAGCACGCGCACTCAACCGCATGGGCCACCGGGCCAGCCCCTGCTTCCATTTTAGATAAAAATAAAAGGAGCAAATGTGTTTTCCTTTTTGTTATTTCCAGGAAGCTTACTTAAACACACACTTACAAGATAACTTGAACAATTATTTTTCCATTGCTTTAAATCAATTTTATTGTTTTAATTTTTCAAATTGTCTGTTTAATGTGATTTTTATAAATTACTTTAAAAAAGAGGCTGAATAAAAAATGCAAATAGGAATACTCACTGTTCTGCACTGGTCTATTTTTCCTGATAAAATCTTCAATCCTTCCAATACTATCAACCCAGCAATCACTGCATTAGTAGTAGCGATAGCAGGAATAATGTTCCCTGCCATGGCTGGAAAAAAACACATGAGTAAGTTTAGCGGTTAAAAAAGAGAAAATAACTTGAACCTTAGATGATACACCTGAAGTACAAAACACAACTTACATTTTATATCAAATCTGCTCTTCATATTCATACTGAAAATATGCATCCTGAGGTTTGCAGCAGAGGTGACAAAATCCATTGCAGATGGGTCATCCTGCCAATAATTTAAACAATTTAACAAGTCTCCCCATAAATTTACTAATTTGACTAGTACTGCTCTCAGAGCGGTACTTTCACATGTTTGTAACACTGTGGACGAGTCAACTAGAACAAGAGGCCGGTAGCATGGAGACTGGATGAGCAGGGGCAGGCTCTCATCATCAGCTCCTCTGATCCAGGAATGTAGTCTGACAAGAACTCCAAGAGCCACCAGACTTCCAGGAATGCACTCCTGCTTAAACAAATGCACTGGAGACTAAGTGTATGGACCAGAACACCAATTCCATTCACTGATGATGGCAATCCTCTCCTGGTCCATCAATCAGTAATGAGAAGGCTGTTAGACAAGCACAGAATCCAGGGAAGGAGACAGAGGCTGTTTTGAGAAAGCTGTTTTATTAAACCCTCAGAAACACTTGGACTACTACTACTACTTTTGGCTTTCCTTCTCCAAATTCTCTTCATATACACCACTCTCCTGTATGTGCTATTTCTTTTCAGATATGGCAATACAATAAAATTTTCCCTTTACAGTTTACAGTCATCCTGAGACTATATCCTACTCTAATTAGATTTCAGCAAGGTTTCCTGCTTTGAACTGAGAAGAAACTATCCTAGCCTATAATTCAGAAGCACAAAGTATAGAAGAAAAAGCATTGACAGGATGTAGGTTCTTTATATACTTATTGGCCAGCTGTGTAGCCTCAGGCAAATCAACCTTCTTGACACAAAATTCCTTAATTTGTTAAATAGGGAAAATTCTATAAACATCTCATAAGGTTGTAGTGAGGATTAAGTATGAATATTTAATAGTACCCAACAGTGTCCATCAGGTACTTCCCCAGAAAATTGGCTTATCACACCCATTAGATGTAGACTTGACTGACAGAGGGTAACAATTCCCAGCTCCAAAGTTTCGTTGTTTAGCCTCATACACAGATGAAAACCTCCCAAATCACTATTATAACATAACAATGAAAATATTTTTTTAAAACTGGTTACTCCTTATACCATATAAACTCCAGAGACTAATGTTTACAAACCCCCCCGAAATCTAAACTTACTAGCTTCATTTTAGATGTACGATTCAACCACAGTTTCAAAGTCTGTACACATAAAATTATCTAACTAAAACTGACCAAACTTTTCGCCTTACTTTAAAACTCATGGCAAATCTTTACCATCATAGGAACATATAAACTTTATCAGATAAATCACTTATATAAAACATTGACTTCAATTAAAAATAAGTAAAATTAACTGATCAAATCTCAAAATATGGGGATGGCCTGGTGGCGCAGCGGTTAAGTTGGCATGTTCCACATTGGCGGCGCAGGGTTCGCAGGTTCGGATCCTGGGTGCAGACCTACTGACTGCTCATCAAGCCATGCTGAAGCGGCATCCCACATAGAAGAACTAGAAGGACCTACAACTAGGATATACAACTATGTACTGCAGGCTTTGGGGGGAATAAAGGAAAAAAAAGAGGAAGATTGGCAACAGATGTTACCTCAAGGCCAATCTTCCTCTAAAAAAAAAATCTCAAAATATGACATCTAACTGCAAAATAATATTAAATATTACTTTAACTTGTGAGAATAATTACTTGTTTTTTTCTTTTTGCGAGGAAGATTAGCCCTGAGCTAACATCTGTTACCAATCCTCCTCTTTTTGCTGAGGAAGGTTGGCCCTGGGCCAACATCCGTGCCCATCTTCCTCTACTTTATATGGGACGCCGCCACAGCATGGTTTGACAAGTGGTGTGTCTGTGCACGCCCAGGATCTGAATCTGTGAACCCCCGGAAACCGACGCAGTGCACAAACTTAACCACTACACCACCGGGCCAGCCCTGAGAATAATTACATTTTTGTAATGAAAGGTCTCTCAGACTTCTAAAATAATTATAACTATTTATACATATATATATAAAACTAATTTTAATGGATAGGCAATTTTATTACTTACTTTCAAGGTCAAATTAGACCTATGACCTGTTGTCTCAAAAGGATTTTATGACTTCTATTAACAAATCTATATTATGCAGTAAGTTTTCTTAAGTCTATTTTCTTTTTTTTTTTAAGATTTTATTTATTTTTTTTCCCCCCAAAGCCCCAGTAGATAGTTGTATGTCATAGCTGCACATCCTTCTAGTTGCTGTACGTGGGACGTGGCCTCAGCATGGCGGGAGAAGCGGTGCGTCGGTGCACGCCCGGGATCCGAACCCGGGCCGCCAGCAGCAGAGCGCGCACAATTAACCGCTAAGCCACGGGGCCAGCCCTTAAGTCTATTTTCTTAAGTCAATGAAACTTTACTCCAATAAATTCACATTATTTCTCCAGTCAACATAATTACAAACCACAAACACATTACTAGAATCTAAAATTAGGTTTTATGGGCCGGCCCCGTGGCTTGGTGGTTAAGTGCGCGCGCTCCGATGCTGGTGGCCCGGGTTCGGATCCCGGGCGCGCACCGAGGCACCACTTCTCCGTCCATCCTGAGGCCGAGTCCCACATACAGCAACTAGAAGGATGTGCAGCTATGACATACAACTATCTACTGGGGCTTTGAGGGGAAAAATAAATAAATAAAATCTTTAAAATTAGGTTTTATGATATTGCCTGAATTCACGTATATAAAACTCATAGTTCAATGGAGTAATGAGAGATGAAAACATCCAAACACAATCAACGTTATGTCCTCAAAATCCGGTAGAATAAACAATATCCAAAAAATTACTAGCTTCTGTTACAGTTCAAAAACTAAAATACACATTTGATATACAAGTAATTGCCACACATTTTCAAAACAAACCTTGTCCCATATGAGCTCAGCTCCATCCCCTTTTTCTGCTAAATGAACTCTCAAAGTCTCAATGCTCTTTGAAAAAAGACGTGCATAGCTCTTTACATCTAGAACCTGCTGGTCTTTCAGACCTAACTGGGGTTCATTTTGTTGATCTGATGCATTGGTTTCTTCTCCTAAGGAAAAAAATATTAAGAAATTTCAGTATTAAACATCATTCCTCTACTCTGTTTTATTTAACAACTCAATGCTTGACCAATAAGAAAATCAAGTAATATGAAACAAATTCCATTAAAATAATTATCACTATGAGACAAATATTTCTACAAGAAAACTGCTAAAATTGAGATGGAAAAGGTGCAAGACTATCTCAGAACCTCACAGGGTTATTGGGGGATTCAAGGATATAATGTAGATGATAAGCATTATGCCCAGCACATAGTTAGCACTCATTAAGTGGAAGCTATTAGAGCCATACTTGAATTCTTCTGTAGTCAAGTATCTATTACTGTAGAGAACTGCTCCAAACCGACATCCCAAGCCTGGTCCAGGGACCTTTAAGTTCTAGCTGACCACTGCCGTGCATAAGTTAAGTACAAAACAATTCAGATAAAATAGAGACACAATGTGTTGAAGGGGAGTGGGATAAGGAAGTAGTCACTACTACAATAGTTTGTCTCACATTTAAAATCATGAGTATGTTCCTAAATTGAATCTTAAAGAATATAATCATACAAAGGTACATATATACTCATCACAACACTTTATTTCAGGGAAAACATGAAACAACTAAATGTTAACTGATAAGGGACTAGTTAATACTGACTGAAAAGAGTAAGTCAGAGTATAAAATAGTATGACTCCATTTATGTCAAGTGCGTACACAACTGTCTGTGCCTGTGTGCATCAAGTTGACTACCAAGACATTCCCTAAAACATGAATAGTGGCTATTTCTCTAGGTGATAAATTTCCAGTGATTTTCCTTCATCATTTTCTGAATTGTTTGAATTTCTTCCCATGAACATACACCATTGTCAAGAAACAACAGGGCTATTTAAAGACTTTTAAGTGAGGAAATTTCCAATTTGGGAATCCCAAAGACTAAAATGTATCCTTTACTACCTTGACTTTGTACTTCAGCCCAGTCCAATGGAACCGGAGGTTTCCTTTTCCGCCACAGTTTGTCCATCGTCAACAGATACCTGATATCATCTTTAAAAAGCTTAAAAGAAAAAGAAAGAGAAATTCCATGAACCCTACAGTCCCTGTGCTGATAAAATATAACAATATTTCATTGCTTATTTATTATAAACATTATAATATAAAATCTTCCGACTCAAAGACACATGTCATATACCAAGAGATTAGCAATTTTCAAAAGAAAAAAAAACCTTAAACCTTTTGTAAAAGGAAATTTCACACAGAACTTCGGCATCTGAAACAGTTAAAAGCAGAGATGCTCTGAGGAAAGCAGAGTAAGGGAACTCTGAACTGTGCTGACTGCTCATGCCCTCCCAAGTCACCTCCCCAAAAGCTCCTAAGATCAGTGTGAAGCACAATCACACCAATCAAGGTGCTAAATAAACACACACCAACTGCATAAGAACTGAATACGATCAGTGAGCCTAGACACCAGGTAGCAACATTTCTGAGTTTGTGGGTACACACCAATAACACTTTAAAAATGCTCAGAAACAGAATTTCTTAAGCATCTGCAACATATTTGAAATGTCCCCCTCAAAAAAAACCCTCAAACACACAAAATGATTACTATTTCAAACACAGAAACATAAACATTACCACATGTTGACTGAGAGACTAGACTATCATATGAATCGTGCCATCCTATGTGGTAGAATTTCAGATGATTTTAATATTTTTACTTTTTCCTTAGCTGCATTTTCTATTGTTGATTGATTTAGTCAACACATTTACTGTACGTTATCAGGTATGAATTTAGATTTGGCTAAATAAAAAATGTGAGGCTGGCCTGGTGGCGCAGCGGCTAAGTGTGTGCACTGCACTTCGGTGGCCCAGGGCTCGCAGGTTCGGATCCTGGGCGCACAGCCACACACTGCTTGTCAAGCAAAGCTGTGGCAGCATCCCATATAAACTAGAGGAAGATGGGCACAGATGTTAGCCCAGGGCCAATCTTCCTCAGCAAAAAGAGGATTGGCATCGGATGTTAGCCCAGGGCTGGTCTTCCTCACACCACAAAAAAGATAGACAACTAAACAAATAAATAAAAAATGTTAGAACTATTTCTATCAAAATAAACTCAATCCAATCAATACTTAATAAGCATCCTAAATAAGCATCTTTTGGGAAACCAGCTAAATACACAAATAATTAGAATACAATTTAATGTGAAAATCACATAGCTTTCAATACCATGAGGCATTTTGTTCTACCTGAAGAGTAAGGAAAGAGTTCAAGGAGATGGTAACATCTGAAGTGGGTACATAGGCAAGGAAATGAGGAGTCCAGTATGACCCGGGTAACAAATGTGGCTAGAGACGTTTGTAGAGGACCTCCAGCACTTGGCTGAAAAGCCAGCTGGGCAATGGGGAATTAGTGTGGTTTTTCAAGCACAAACTCCATGTCCTTCTTTATCCAGTTATTAAACACTGGAAGGGAGTCCCTCAGAGCTGTGCATTGAACTATCTTCACACTCTTCTCTCGTTCTATAAACCTATGAATCCCAACCACATTTCTAGTCTAAACCTCTCTAATTACCTATAGAACCACTTGTCATCTCTCTAGTATTCCATGAGAATCTCAAAATTAATTCTATCACCTTCTCCAGCCCCCGAATCCCTACACACTGCTTCCCACCTCACCTATCTGAGAATGGCACCTCTATTCTCCTGCTGCCCAGCAAGAAGCCAGGTATCATTCTTGACTCCTCACCTTATACATCCAAAGTCCTGTTGAGTCTAGTTTTCCTCCACGCTCCACTGGGAATGAAGATATGGGTTGTACTTCAGATTACTTGGGCACTGCACAACTCCAGAAGGCACTGTCCCATACTGGTTACAATAGGAATACCAGGTCCTAGAGTGGTGCACTGCAGACCCTCTATACCCTTTTAGTCATCCTACAGACTACCTTTAATGGATTCCCACTGTCTTGGTATAACATCCTTATCATGACCTAGAAAGTCCTGCCTGATCTAGCCTCCGCTTGCCTTTATAGTCCTCTTTCCACTCTCCTCTTTAATGGGAATTATTTCAGTTCTTCAACCTGAGAGTTTCTTGGTATATGCTGTACTGTATCCCCACCCTTATTCTTTACAGCCTTGGGTTGAAACGTTACTTCCTCTGGAAAGCCTCCTTTGAATGCTCATGCTAGATCTAATAATGTTAATGATAATAGGTTAAGTCTACTTATTAAAGGGTTCCAATGCGTCTGAACTTAATGTCATAACACTAAATCTGAAACTTACTTGTTCAATGTTTGACCTCCCCTCTAGACTATGAGTTCCCTACAAAGAGCAGGGACTCCATTTTCTGTTTTGTCTACCATTTATCTCCTGTCCTTAAAGTGGTGCCTGGCACACAGCAGATGCTTAAGTTACCTGTTGAATAACAGCCTAGAGATGCACTTCAGATTACTGTGGCATTCAACTGTTGCTCAGATTGGAGTGAAAATAGGTATATGGACACCAATTTGGAAAATACTACCGCTACCCATATCAGAGTTAAGTGCATTTTAAGTATAATCAAAATAAAAAACATTTTCCAAGGAAAAGGCTGTATCGAGGAAATAAATGCAATAGGTTTAAGACAGTCAACCTGTGACATCTGTTACCACGGAGGAAAGAGATGAAATGTAAGCTGGAGGGAGCAGTAGGCCATCTGCTTAGGAGAGGGCGACCTAGGCATGTCAAGAAGCAGAGAGAAGGAGCCAAGAGAGTTTCAAGATGCAGGGCAGAATGAAAATACTGTTTGAAGAATAAGGGGAAGGAAAAATAGTCGGTGGAAGACTTAACCTTTACTCAAAGAGATTTCTCTCAAACACAAGGGGTAAAAAAAAAAAAAGAGTTTGCAGTGAAGTGGGACATTTTCTTAACAGGTAAATTATGTCCAATGGCCTTAAATCTGTTAATATATCCTTAAGGTCATCTGCTTAGTGATGGTGGCAAGAGTGTAATTAGGCAGTTTAGGCAGAGCTGAAAAAGTTTCAAGTATCTATTATGATAAACTTGCTAGGGAGTGAAGGCAGAAGAAATAAAATGACTTTTAAAACACAGAGCTGGAAGCCTAGCTGAGCTATAATTAGGTAGACCCAATTAAAACAATCTTGTAGATTTCTCTAGAAGTATTCAGTAGGCAAATAATATATACTAATGAAGACAGTCAGCCAAGAACAAGAGACTTAGAGATTTAAGAGCGATTTAGAACATGTCAATCAAACTGCCAATAGAAGATCTGAGCAGGAAATGGACATAAGACAAGAAACAGCAGGAAGCAGAGGTCAGTTATAAGGCAAACCAAGAAGTTCAGTGACGGTGAGGGAAGGAAAGACCAGCAAGAGCATATAAGCAAGCCTCTGTATTTCACCTCCTATAAAGATGCTACACGATTTAGTGCTGGTGCTAAAATGTCAAAACCTGCTTATCCCGACTACGTCAATCAATTTATTAAAACAGCATTAGGTATAAAAAGAAGCATAATTCCATTACATGTACTATTTAAAAAAAAAAACAAAATAATAAATCTATCCCCAATTATAAAGAAAGTAAATCTAACCTTGGTAAAAAGTTTAACTGGATCATATCCCGTTGATTTAGCCCATTCCTTAGTAGAAATACGTTTAATGTCACCATCTTCATTAGATGCTCTGGCTCTGGCTTCAGCTTCCATTGGTTCCCCTACAAAACAAACACCACTTTATTTTCAATATAATATAATTTTCAATATAATACATGTAGAACTAAGCTCTCATCCACCTTTAGTGAAAAAAGAGTCACTCATGGAAGTCACCTGCATGGGATACATTCTGAGTTCAAGGAGGAAGGATGATAACATGCTGATCAGCAACTTTTTCTACCTCAATGTCTGAAGACCACATGTAGAGCAGTTCAAAGTACAGACTTATAATCAGATCTGGGAACAACTCCCAGCTCTCTTTATCAGATTCATAAAATTTCTCTGTACCTTAATTTCCTCACCAGTAAAACAGGACCAGCCATTTTTTTAAAACACTGTTTTAAAGATGAAATAATATATCTTAAACACTTATTATCTAGCACATAACAGCAATTACTTTTTTTCCTCTTAAGCTATTGATATTAAATTAGCAAAATAAAGGTAGCACTCACTAATAAGAAAATATATTCCAAATAATTTACTCACAGGAAGCTTCAGGGTCAGCTCTGTCAGGAGACACTTCTTGATCAGCATCTTCTTCCCCAAACAACTGGCTATAATTTAAGAGTAGTAAATATTTACATACAACAAAATATTCTGAACAAATGTTTACTTTTCCTACCTTTCTCTCAAAAAACTAATTTAGAATATCCCAAATCTTTAGTGGGGATGAGAATAAACAATTGATAAATTATACTCCACAAACTTAAAATTATTAAAGCAATCTGTTTAGACAGCTCGCACCCTAATTTCAACCACAACACAAGCAAGGCTAAATTTTAGTAGACCTATATTCATTCCTGTCAGCTAGGCTCTGCAAATTCCTGTCAAAACCTTTCAACAAGAGAAATGGGGCCAGCCCGGTGGCGCAAGCAGTTAAGTGTGCATGCTCTGCTGCGGCGGCCCGGGATTCGAAGGTTCGGATCCCGGGCGCGCACCGACACACCGCTTGTCAAGCCATGCTGTGGCAGTGTCCCACCTAAAGTAGAGGAAGATGGGCACGGATGTTAGCTCAGGGTCAACCTTCCTCAGCAGAAAAAAGAGGAGGATTGGCATTGGATGCTAGCTCAGGGCTGATCTTCCTCACAAAAAAAAAAAAA